GGGATGGGCTCGGGTCACTGTGGGAGGGGGAAGAGCCGATTCCCATCCCCTGCCCGCTCCCCGAGCCCGTTCCGTCCCTGCCCCGGAGCCGGCGGGGGAGGCGCCGCGGCGGGGGCGGGTCCGGGGCCGCTCCGCATCGCTCAGGTTGAGAACCGCGTGGGGTTAAGGAGCCACGGGAAAGGAGCGGAGCGGAGCGAACCGAGACGAACCGGGCTGAACCGAGCCGAACCGGGCCAACCGGGCCGAGGCAGGATGGCCCAGCCGCGCTGCCGCTCCGTGCTCATCACCGGCTGCAGCCGCGGCATCGGGCTGGGGCTGGTGCGGGGGCTCGCAGCCGCCAACCCCTCCCCGGATTTGGTGTTCGCGACCTGCCGCTACCCCGAYAAGGCGCAGGTAAAGCGGGGAGGGGGCGCCGGGGCTCCCCGGAGCGGGGTCAGGGCGGCGGGAGGGAGGAGAAGGAGCTCGGGAAGCGCGGAGCACCTCGAGCATCCCTGAGCAGGCAGCGAGAGCCCGCGGGGGGACGGAGCCGGGGCTGAGCTCCGAGCGGGGCCGGGGAGCTCTCCGGGGCTGGAGAGGGGATATCGATGATGGGGAATGATCCCGGGAGGAGCAGAGCGAGCGGGACGCGGCCGGGCAGAGCCGGGAGCTGCAGCATCTCCAGCGCTTCTGCACCTCCTTTCCTTTACCCCCGAGTTCTCGCTGGATTTGCCTCTGGAGGGCTCTGTCCCGTCCCGCTCCGCTTTTTTAGGGTCCGGAAACCTGCAGGGACAGACCATCCCTCAAAAACCTTCCAGTGGACCCACCGCAGCTTCCCTTCTCCCTCCCCGCGGCGGGTCCGTGTCCCTGCARGAGCTGCGCTCTCTCTGCCTCTTTTTCTCTGCAACAAGTGACAAAACCCAAAAGAGCCWTGAGTTAAACCCCTCTGGGCTGGGCAGGGATCGGAGTTTCTGCTGGGAACGGGAGCTTTTGTCACCTGCGGCTGCTGGGTCCGCTCGCAGCCCTCTCYCCTTTCAGCTCCCGCCTCTGCTGCTGCAGCATCGCAGGAATTTTGGGACTMTTTCCCCATCCCTAAACTCTTACAAATTCCCGCCAGACAAATTTCGGACACATCTGAAAGCTTTGGGAAACGAATCGATGGGGGTTATCAGTCTGTGATCAGAAACATCTCCAGGCTGAGCTCCGTTCCCCTCAGCCAGGCAGAATTTGGGCAGCAGAGATGCTCACAGGTATCCATCCCCCATTCCATCCCCCATTCCATCCCCCATTCCATCCCCCGGCGCTCCAGAGCTGCAGGAGCACCTGAAATTCCTCCAAAATGCCCCAGGAATTTGGAATTTTGCCCTGTCCCCGCATCTCCCCAATTTCCAGCGTGGCTGCCCCGGCGAAATGCAAATTCCCCGGCACGTGCGGAGGGAAACCGAGCCGTTTCTGTTCCTTCGGGGGGTTTGATTCAAATCCTTCAGGGGGGTTCATTCAAATCCTTTGGGAGGGTTCATTCAAATTCTTCGGGGGGTTTGATTCAAATCCTTCAGGGGGGGGTTGATTCAAATCCTTTGGGGGGTTTTGATTCAGATCCTTCACAAGGGTTTGATTCAAATCCTTTGGGGTGTTCAAGTTCTTTGGGGGGCTTTGATTCAAATCCTTCGGGGGCTTTGATTCAGATCTTTTGGGGGGTTTTGATTCATTTCGTACAAACTGGGAGCACTCAATAAGCCAAACACAGGAATTATTTAATGCTGAGCTACATAAAACCTTGAAAAGGTGGCTCTGGGGCAGCCCCCCGAGGATTTGGGGCAGCCCCTGAGGATATGGGGCAGCCCTNGGGGGGCTTTGATTCAAATCCTTCGGGGGCTTTGATTCAGATCTTTTGGGGGGTTTTGATTCATTTCGTACAAACTGGGAGCACTCAATAAGCCAAACACAGGAATTATTTAATGCTGAGCTACATAAAACCTTGAAAAGGTGGCTCTGGGGCAGCCCCCCGAGGATTTGGGGCAGCCCCCGAGGATTTGGGGCAGCCCTCAAGGATGTGGGGCAGACTCCGAGGATTTGGGGCAGCCTCCGAGGATTTGGGGCCGCCCCCGAGGATTTGGGGCAGCCTCCGAGGATTTGGGGCAGCCCCCGAGGATTTGGAACAGCCCCCGAGGATTTGGGGCAGCCCCCGAGGATGTGGGGCAATCCCCGAGGATTTGGGGCAGCCCCCGAGGATGTGGGGCAGGGCTGGCCCGGTAACACCTGCAGTCTGAGCTCAGCTTCTCCAGCATCTTCTGCTGCCCCACAGGTACTTCAGAATCAGAAAGAAATACCCGAATTATTTAAAAAACCTCCAGCAAAAGGTCCATTTAAGACATTTCTGAATAAAAGCGCAGACCCAGCGCAGCAAGGCAGGGATCAGGTGCCTTTCGGGTGGCTGTGACCCCCCTGAGCCCCTCCTGAGCAGGGTTCAGTGCCTCCTGTTCCCGTTTAACTCCGGTTACCCGAGCTGGCAGCCGGCCCAGCCCCATTTCCTCGGAGCGATCGATTGCACAAGAGCTGCAGCAGCGGCGCAGGAAAGCGGCACAAAATCCGACCCTAGATCGAAATCTCCCCGCGCGTTTGTTTGTCCCGAAGCTGAGGGAGGTTCTTTCCCGATTTCTCACCGCGATGCTTTCGAATCCATCACACGGGGAAAGCCAAACCTTTCCTCGGGCAGGAAAATCTTCCCGGAAAACTTTACCCGTGGCAAAACTCATCGGGTGCCGATCGTGTGCTTGGAAAATGCGCAGCGAAAAGGCTGCGGAGCTGCCCGGGAAGATGAAACAACTTTCAGACGGCTGGCGAGAGTCTGGGTCACTCCTGGCTGCCGGGAGAAACCTGGAAAACCTTTGGCACGGAGTTTCTCTGGCCACGAGCCACGTTCCAGTAACCCCAGCGGTGATTCTGCTGGCCACATGGGCTACATCCCAAGCGCTTTTTTTAATTTTTTTTTTTTTTTTTAGGGGGGCAAGTTTTGTCCTCGGTGGCTCGGGGTGGGTTTTTGTTCTTCCTAAGGACCTCCAGGCCGTGCGCTGCGCTTTGGCAGGACATCAATGGAAAGCTTTGCAGCCGGCTGTGAGCGTAATTTCTAACAGATGCCTTTGCAAAAGGCCACGAGGGAGAGAGAGGAATCTTTGCCGAAGGTACCGCGGCGCTTTCACCGGCGTTATCTGCGCCATCTGCGGCTGCCACGAAACCTCCTGACCCTCGGCGAGCCGGTCCCGGGGCTGGCACGGGGGCGAGAACGAACCTGCCCAGCCCCCGGCACCGGGAATTTCGGTCACTGGAGCATCCAAAGGGTGCTCGGCTCCGAYCTGGCAGTGCTCAGAGTGGTAGCAAAGGTTCACTGATTTTCTTGTGGTTTTTATTTTTTTTTTCCTGCTCAGAGTGGAAGTTTGCTTTCGCTGATTTTCCAGTCAAATTTTGGGCA